TGAGATCAATTCTTTTTCATTATATTCTGCTATGTTAATAGTTACATGCTCAATTAAATTAAATAAATTCATATAATTTTTTTTACTATTGCATCTCATGCTTGTGTAGGCCTTTCGCCCAAATATTTCCATTTACAGTAATTATACACACACACACACACACACACACACAGAGTTGGGATACATATGGTAAAACCCATCTGGCAATTGGATATCTTCAAGGAAACAAACAGCGTTTTTGATGAAAACTTCAATCTCCATTTTGCGGTGTCCTGGATATAATTTCATGAATAACACAAAGGCCTGGATTGATGCTGCTGTGCATTCTACGTACTCGTGTTCAATTACAATATCAGCAAAGAACTCTGTAGGATTAAGAAGCTGGCCAAAAGAAAAGAAAAAAAAAAAGAAAAGAAAGTTCAAAATTGCAAATTAAATGAAAAAAGGGTGTTTGGGTTTGCACTGCAAAAAAGGCATTAAGAAGTATTACCTCTAGCCAAGCCCCTGCTTTTACTGGCTCCCAAGCTGCTAAACCTTCTTTTTAAATTTTAGCCGAAGTTCAAATGTGACCAACCTCTTCAATTAGAACAAGAAAGATTGATAGCTTGGGTAAGTATAGCAGTGATGGTATAAGAAAGGAACAATTTTTCTCTGAAATTATTTTATGAATAAATTTTTCATGTACTACATAAAAGTTGGACAGGGGAAGATTAATCCCAACATTATTTCCACCATGCCTTTAGACACGGGCATACACTAGTATATATATAAAGCACAAAGGTTTTTGAAAATGTGTGAAAATATATGAGCAATGGCTAAGATATTTCCTAAGACCATCTCCAACCGTTCACCAAATCTATCATCAAATTCAAATTTGGTGAAAAACATGTACTCTTTGAGCTCCAACAGTTTCACCAAAACGGTATCAAATTCAGAAAATATCAAACGTTTTACCAAACTGAGGATCTCAACACCTTTCACCAGATTACTGTGCAGGACCGTTGCACCGGACATCCGACCGGTCATCCACCTGGTCATCCACTTATTTGAAAAATTCCATTTGAATATAACCATTTTGCCAAATCCTCAAAGACTGTATCAAAATCAATTTGAATACAAATTTGCAGAGGAAGAAATAATGAAAGCTCTACAACTTCCCATCATAGATCTCACTTCTCTTGATCGAATCTCCACCGCCAATTCCATCCGTCAGGTGTCTTCTTCTTTCTCTTCACACCTTATCACTGCATATATATATACAAATCAGTAATGGAATATTTGCCCTATATATCAGCTTTATTTTATCGTCAATGTAATATTTCCCCTATATATCATCTTATTCTTCCTCTTCATTCTCTCTAATATATATATATATATATATATGTATCCAAAGAGCTATTACAAATATTTGTTCTTCTTGCTCTATAAATTGTTCTCTGTAAATTCATTATCTTGTGATTATCACAAGTACCTATCACAATCAAATTTGTATATCAAAGTTATCATACTTGCAACACTAATCATGCAATATATTTTATGTTTTGGAACAACAAGAAATGGCAAATAAATGGTAAAGGAATTGAGCGACACTGAAATGGAGGGGGGAAATTTTTTTCATGAAATGCTCTTGCCAGACATTTGGCCGATCGTCCTTCCGGACGTCTGGTGTTTTGATGACAGCCCATTGGAGTGGCTGATATCAGATCAAGGAAATCGTCATTTTTTTACTCAAATTTGATGAAAAAAATAGTGAATCGTTAGAGATGCTCTAATCAACATCTAACGGTTCAAATTATACCAAACATGCTTTTCGTTCCTGACCAAGTGTACCAAACGCTCCTCTTCTTCTGTCTTTCAAATGTCTTCCTCCCACCTACCCCGTCTCCCTCTTTGTTCTTTTTGATTTCAAATTTTAAACTCTTTATCTACCCATTTCACTCTCAGCTTTTGCTTCCGCATTTATCTCTTTGGCTTCATCAGAGCTTACTCCAACCGTCGTTCAAAATCACTTCGCCTTGCAGCTCAGTTCGCTCCGGTAACTCGGTTCACTCCGATCATCGTTCACTCCAACAGCTCGTGTTGCAAAATCAGAGCTCACTCCAACCACTCCTGTAAGCTTATTACAATATGAGTTTGGTGTGATTTTAGTTTTATGATCTGGGTTTGATGTCTTTGTTGGGGTATTTTTTAGGTTGTTCTTTTGGGACTCCTTTTAGTTTGGCCTTCATTTTGATTTGTGATTTTTGTTTTTCTAAACCTTAAATCAAAATACCTATAATATATTGGAATCATGTTGTTGTGTAATTTATACATATCTATTGGTCTAATTTGAGTTAGAATTTGGTTGAATTGAGTCAAATGTTTTAAAATGGCTGACTTGGAAACACTCACAAGTCTACTATGGAATGAGCAGTAACTGTTGTTCTGTGTACTGTGGTTGACACTCTAGTTCTCTCTTTCATTCATTCATGTAATATCTGCATTTGTATTCATTTAGTGGTAATTTCTGCTATGGAGTTTTTTAGGTATTCTAGGTAATTCTCAATCATTTTGAGTTAGGTATTTTTTGGGTATTATTTTTAGGTATTTGAATTGCTCTAAAACACATAACTTTGTAAGATTTGGTTTAGTGATATGTGTTTGTGTTTGTGTTTTTCTACATGTTCAAGAAACTGATATGGGTTTATGTTTCCGTGATATGGGTTTCTATATTTTTAGGTATTTGGATTACTCTAAAATACACAAGTTTGTAAGATTTGGTTTCCTGTTTATTTATTTATTTATTTATTTTTGGCTAGGCAAAAGAATAATTTCTCCTAGGTGATATTTTCATAAATTTAGTTTTTTTTTTCTTTCCTTTTAAACAAAGCCCAAAGTAATTGTTGCTATCAAGCTGTTACTTTCTTTGGTTGCTTTCTTTGTACCACTTTTTTTTTTTTTTTTTAATCACATAAACTCCATACATAACTAATAAACTCCATACTCCTGGAGGAGAACATGGCGCAGAAACTCAATATGTTCTGTGATCCTTTGGCCCAACAAGAAACTGAGAAATCATTATAAGATGTTCTTCGTGAAAAGTACCCAACCTCCCCGTTATTATTAATACATTTTTTCACTTCAATTCAAATCTTTGTACCCACTGTTTGCTTTTGAGGCAAACAAATTGAAGCAACTTTCAGCTTAATGTCATTTTGGTTCAAAGATCCAAACAATAAATTAGTTGATGGTATCTTCTTTTTGTAACTTTGGTTTTTAGTTTTATTTTGTGGAGAAATTGTGTTACAAACGAGTGAACTTAGATCAAACCCATCAGAGCATTTTTTTAGTTTTATTAGAAAGCTGCAAAAACCAACCCAACAAATTTTAGATTTTTAAAAACTTCCCTCCAACATTTTTGGAAGGTAATAATTCCATCAAACACATTGAAAGCTTTTTGGGCAATGGTTGTTTTTTCATTATTAATCAAGAAAGCTTTTTGGGAAATGGTAACAAAGAGGTAGAAAAATAATTCAAGAGGAAGGAGAATATCGTCGAGATTCGAGAAAGAGTTTCCTGGGTTTGATTGGTGTGATCTAAGTTTGATCTTTCTACATTGATCCCAAAATGGGTTTGATCTGAGTTTGATCATTCTATATTTTTAGTTTTATCATTTGGGTTTAAAATGGGTTTATTGTACAAAAAGTCACCGATTTTTTTGGTTCTATCATTTGGGTTTGATCTTTTTAGATTGATACATTGATCCCAAAATGGGTTTTAAATGGGTTTATTGTATAAAAAGTGATATGATCTGGGGCTTTCTATTGGGTTTATTGAGGCAATTGAATTTGGGGGCTTATTTTTATTTCTTATTTTTTGTAACTCTGATAATAGAAACTTGTAGACGTGCACGAACGTCCCGGGCTTCGCGCGCGAAATTCGTTTTGTTCATTAGGCTGACTACAGTTCGGACTCAAATGTCACGGTTCTGAATCTAATCTCACAATGTGCGATGTGAGACCGATAAATCACCAAAGAGTCCAAATCCGGCAAATCGTTTTGGAAAACTGATTTTTATAAAGAAGTGTCAAACATGGACTGCTTTGTCAGATACAGAGTCGCCACCTAAATATTTTATTTTGGGGAAATTTAGGAAACCCTGACTCGTGCCTAAGGCCACGTGTCCGTCATCACCAAAGTTGCCTCGGCTCAGGAACTTGGGTATGTTGGGGAAGGTCATCTATGAGCACCCCCGCTCACCCGATCAAAGATCGGCCTGTACTAAACATGATATCTTGGTTTTGAAAACACATGCGTTCTTATTCCGGTTAATTAGCTAGAATTACTATGTGATGCGCACAACACACAAGTATAGACTAGATTGCCTAATTTGGAACAAAGCATCGCATATCTGTTTGTTTTGGTAATGGTTTGAAGTTTGCTACTCGCAAGTAGGCTAAAACACGGATTTCAATGAATTGTTCCAATTCAAGTAATCCAACATTCACCCACAGGCATTCAGGCAATTATATCACATAAGCAAATAACCTCATGGCAAGCATGGTGTCATGGCAACACTTACATACATGCAAGATGCTAAAACATAAACACTTACAGTGTACTCCAAGCCAAAATAAAGAACTAGTTAGTAATTAATGCATGATCCTAGTTCATGTTAAGATAGCTAATGCAACACATGCAAAATGTAACTAGAAATAGGCTCGGCTATTCTAGAATGGCATATGAAATGCAACTTGATACATGTATTTAAATAGGTATCGAAATACGATGCAGTTAGTATGATACGCCGAGCCCGGTGCATGCAATACAGATGAATGATGCATGCATGCAAGCATATGGTATGCTAAATGAAAGATACCCTAAAACTAACCATCATAAGCGGTTAAGTAAAATGGAGAAAGAAATGGAGGTTGGAAGACGTGCATCACACACACGCACGCTTATTACAACACTTGTGCCCTCTCGACGGAGGGACCGAATAAGAAGCTAACTAGCTAATCTAAGCTAATTAAACTAATTATTACACAACAAATTAATTAACTAATCCTAGTTAACTAATTATTACAAAACGAATTGAATAGCAAACGCATTAACAATTAAGGGTACAAACCAAAGCATAAGCAAGCTATCTAAGCATGGCAGCTAAGGAAAGCAATAAATCAGGAGCCCCAGAGGGAGAGGAATGCATGCAAGCCCGGTCGCCTCGTTCGGAAATCCAATGCGATGTCCCGATTTGCCTCTGTTTTCATTTGTTCTCAGAAACTTGCACCAAGCTCCAGAAGGATGAAACTCCACCTTGGGAATCCAATGGGAGGGTGGCCGACCACTTTTGGTCTATAGAAACACTTGCCGACCACTTTTGGTTGTTGAAAAACTAGAAAAGTGGTCGGCCAGCTACTTTTTCTGGCTGGCCAGCCAGTTGTTGCTGCTGAATCCCAGTTTTCTGCAACAGAGAGCAAGAAAGGGCATGGCAATGTATTTGCAAGATATGTGTGCACAACCACCCTCCCTATCATGTCATGAACTCAAGAGAGTGTAGGTTCTCGA